AGACAGACAAACAGACCATCACATTCACTACTGATGCCAGGCCTAGGAGGCTTTACGGCAGCCTCGACGCTTGATTAGGGGTGGGTTTTTATAATCGATTTATCGATTAAAATCGATTCTGGCTTGGATAACGTAAAATCAATTCATTAAAATCCTGAATCAATTTTTTAAAATAAATTTATTTTGCCCGAAATGCCAGAATCTCTTGTGAAATCTCACAAAATATCAACAACCACCAAACAGCTAAGACAGTAAATGCGAGCAGGAACACGGATTCTGCACAAAGACACAGTGAGACCCGCGGATCAGAATCAGTGAGATGTCGCCTTTCTCACGGTCGGGGCTGAAAGCCGATTCTAAAGCTGTTAGTTTGATGTCTCTCCAAACAATATTGACCGAACCAGCAGCAAAAGAAGATCCAAACTAGCTTCACATAAACATCGTCATGAATTCACTCTGACTTTTACTGTTTTGCTTCAACCACGATGCACAGCTCTCTCTCTCTCTCTCTCTCTGTACTGTTTTCTTCATTATTCGCTTGCTTGTTACGCACAAGTCTACCGTTGTTTACAGCGCTGTCGGCCGACTTTTTTTTTTTTCGTTTTATATACTTCCGAAAAGAAAACCTAATTTCTGTCGTTCAATACTGAACAAATTTAAACTTTTTAAAATTATGCAAAATGCGAAACGCTTAGCCGTGTCTCTAATAAAACCGCTGTAACTTCAGAGGTAATGTTCATATGTTGATTAATGGTTTTCTTTCGTTTTTGATGTACTGCAGAATATTTTTATAAAATCCCAGGCCTGGAAAATCACCTTCATGTTTTTCTGTGTTTTATCTTCAGCTACTTTGACACAAAGGCATCTGCTGTGATGCTCACACCTTTGATAAAGTCTTGCGTGTGTCAGCTTCCTTTTTATAGATACAAAAATATGTAAATGTACTGATCTGAATTATAATATTTCTGACTGTCAAAATTTCCCAGATTCAAATCGAAGTGAATCGAATCGTGGATCAAATCGATTCGGGACCTTGTGAATCGGAATTGAATCGATTCTAGAAAACAGTGACGATACCCAGCCCTACGCTTGATGCCTTCAGGCACAGCACTGAGTGGCAAATTGTCTCTGTTTTGGCAGCGTTGAGGACCCAATACAAAATCACTGTTTTAATGTGTGTAAAAAATATATAAAATGTGCTCCAAACATAAATATCAAATTTACGTGTATGTTATAGAATCTAGTCTTGCTGGCTTTTGTGAGTGACTGGAATGAGCAACAGGGGCTTTCAGACTTAATTCATTTGGTCAGGTTCAGACAAAACAGAAAAAACCTCCATCAAAAGGAGGCGTTAACAATCTGTCTCAAAAATCACAGACTGAATAAAAGATGGATGTACAGTATTGTGCAAAAGTCTTGAACCAATCCTAATTTGTATTTTGCTTCCGTGGAAGCTAAAAAAAAGTGCGGTAAAGTCAGTTGAATCTTAGAAAAATGTCAAAGATTGCTCAGCTTAACAAGCATAAAACCTTATTTTTTGTCACCAAAAGGTGATTGACAAAGAGCTATTAGCCAAAAACTTGCCTTATTTCAGCATGGTGTGGAGTGTGTCCTTAAGAATTTGAGGAAATTGAACAGGTGAATGACAAAAGAAGAACAGGACATGAACAGTATCTGAAAATCATATCTTTAAGAACTAGGGAAAAAAAGAATCAAGCAAAGAGCTGAAAACAGATCAGAGAGACGTATCTTGAGTTGATCTACTGTTCGATAAAGCCTTGTCAGAAATTGTGTCATTGTGTAAAGAAAACCTGGTCTTATAAAGGTCTATGGGAAAACAGCCCTCTGACCTGTCCCCGGTAAACACTTTGCTGATGTGTTTAGGAGCATAGTCACTCATTTCAGGCTTCCCACCTCCCAGCTTTTCTTGTAAACTGGGCTGAGCAGGCCATTGCTGCTTTGCTGCTGGCTTTTGTATGAAAACAGAGCCTTAAAATGCAGCCAGCTAAATGTAGAGACTGTGGGGGAAGTCAGATAAAGTGAACTAAACAGGGTGAAACTGTGTGGTGATAAACAAACCACAGAGCCTGGCATTATTTTGCAAAGTTAAATACATATTAACCCAGAACACCATTCCCCCCACCTCCCTTCTGATCAAAGTGCTACATGCAAATATCTAATCATGCACACTTTTCTCCCATTATAGTGATTTAAGCCACTTGTGATACAACAAGAACTCCTCTCAGTCTCTTTTGTTTATGTGAGATAAATGCACTGCAACTTCCAAGACCTACTCGTTCATCTCGGCCATCTCCTTGACCGCCTCCACTCCTCCTGGCAGCGGGTCCAAGTCTATGAAGAAACCTTTGGACTCCCAGATGCTGATAGCTTTTTCCTGGAGTTTAAAAAAAGGAAACAAAACGCATGCATACAGCTTATCTGCAACAGTGTAAATTATTCAGGTGCATGTACAGTATGTGTATCCACATGAGTGTTCATGAGCCCTGAAGAAGTAAGTCCAAAAGGCCAACTTCTGTGGACATGATTACAAGGTAGCACTTTGCTTCTTGCTTGGAGTAGGTGAATTAAGACACCGAAGGAAACACATAATCAAATGGAGTAGTGAGTGAACTGCTCAACACTTCACATTAAAGTGAACCACAAGGAAATCGAGGTTGAGTCATTCATCCACACAAACCAAAAAGGTCCCCCAATCCTGATTAATGCTACTGAGCTAGAGCACTGTTAATCTCACAATCCCCAGAGCCATGGGATGAGAGCAAGGATAATGCCTGATTTAGACTTCTGCGGGAAATCTACACTGTAACTGTAAACTCCTATGCCATAACCTTCCATGCCATATAGTCTGACCCGACATGTAGTTACATTTCTCGGGTTACGTGGAAGGTTGTGGAGTACGATTAAACTATTTATTGTTTCTTTTTAACCAGAAACATTTAAAGGTATTTTCAGTTTCAGTTATACTATGATGTAGATTTGCCTCAGAAGTCTAAATAAGGCATGAGACCAGTAGTAGACTGTAATGTAGTACATGTGATTATTCTGCTTCCACTGTAAAAATTCCAGCATTTAATTTCCATTCATATTATGCTACTTTCTTCTAATTTTCTGGATGAAAATATTGTTCGACCATGCAATAGTCCAATACTTACTAAGAAGATTAGAAGGTACTGAAAAAGTGGGGCCATCTTTTGTTTTTCAGAATTCTGACAAAAAAATACATTTTTTTCCCAGTGGCCATAATCCTCTTCCATAAATACTCCTGTACCACCCTATTGAAAAGGTCCCAGCCCAGAGCAGTCAGAAACTTGACTGTTAACCATATGTAAATGAGACAGACTTTTGAATTAAAACTTGTAAAAAATAAAAATACAAAACCCAATTCGAGAAAGCCTAAGTTGAATTTCAGCCACTATATTTAGTGCTGCTGTCACTCACACAAAGGTCACTCCTCAGCTGCCCGTACTGCGTTGACACCCAAAACCCTCTCCTGTCCTCCAGGGTGACGTAGGGCTCCGTCGGGTACCTGGCCCGATACTTCTTCAGGAAACCCCCCTCGAAGTCCGCCAGGACTCCGTCCATGTCCACCAGGACCCGCAGTCTCTTCCCGGAACGAGAGGTGAACGACATGTTTGCGCAAATCCTCTTAATGGGATCTCGGAGCAAAGTTTTCCCTCTTCCTAGTAGGCGTGTTGCACTAAGCAGCAACATTTTTCACGCCCTCGGTCACTGCCCTCTCCAAACAGTCAGCAGAAACAGCTTGTGAAGTTGGCATGAGACTTACACAAACAAAAATAATTCCAAGCACTGGAGCTAAACCCCTTTCAGTACTCGTTTTCGACACTGTTATTTGCCCCTTGTGAATTTTTGTCCAACTTTTCACATTCTGAGCGGCAGTTGAGCTAACAGACGCTGGCTAGCTGACAGGCTAGCACCACAGCAGCCGCAGCGGACAGTTCAACTGTGACCTGCCTGTGGCGGTCACAGTTGCCGGGAGCTCTTTGTATCGTTTGTCAGTGTGTATTAGCCGGCCGGCATCCAAGGCATGCCTTTCTAAAATTCCACAGCATATGAGATAAACAACATATGCTGTTAGAGCTGTCTGAGGTGAAACGAGAAGTAAACAACTGGAGCTGCTGCACCAAAGGGAGAAGCGCTCAGCTGTAAGAACAAACTGTACTACGAGCCCGTGCGCAACAAAGATCTCACACGACCAAGATGGTTCACTCCTCAGGTGTTTTCAGGAGCCACGTACAGTGAAAAATATAAACATTTACAACAATACGAAGGTTTTACAACCACAATAATCATACACGCAACGTGTGTGATTATTTACTGGCTAAAGAACGGTCGTGAGTTAGGTTCATTGCAATTTATGCACAGTCATCTCTTTTTGCCCAAATGTGACAGCTTATTCTGAATGATGGATAGGTAGAGGGGCAAAACATTTAGCATCAGACAGGGGAGCTTCCAGAGATCCATCACTTGTACATGAAATACGTTAGTGTGTGTGTGTGTGTGTGTGTGAGAGAGAGAGAGAGAGAGAGAGAGAGAGAGAGAGAGAGAGAGACAGAAGAAGATGCTGGAGGCAGACCAACTAAGTCTAAGTCTAAGACCAAAACTTAGAGTAACTGGTATTTTAAAGATATCAAATTTATTCAATTTTAAACAAAAACATGATTAAAATCATATATAAATTTAATCATATTTATCAATGTCATCATATTTTCGTTTCCCCAAAGGAGCAGCACTATAGTGGTCCTGTAAAAGTAGTTAGACAAGAGGTCTCACCATAAAACATCTACGTTAACCCCGGTATGTACGTCACTTCCATTATTTCCTAGTCCTCAAAGAGAGAAGTAGAAGTCCTTTTTTAAATAAACACACACTCGTGCAATATATATCTATATATATCTCTCTCTCTATATATATATCTATAGATATATATATCTATAGATATATATAGATATATAGATATATATATATAAAAGCAAATCTGGTAGCTGGCCCTTTAAGAATTCAACGGTCGGTTCTCTAAACCTCCTTGCGGTCTGTTCTGTTCTTACGATCTCGCGATAGCCTCACCTCAGTGGCGGCTGTGTGGCCCCCTGTCTTAGTCCGGACGGAGTTGTTTCTGACGTTTGAATGAAATACAGTGCAAATTACCTCCACGTTGGACCCAGGAAATAATGGCTTCAGCCTTGGAGCAGTTTGTGAACAATGTGCGGCAGCTCTCCGCTCAAGGTAGGGTTGATAAACTCATTAGAGTCTGAAGTATTAGCTAGTTAGCTAGCATATGCTATCCAATGCCTTGCCGATAGCTAGGCAGTCAAACTGGTCAGAGGCTTCTTTTTGCTTTATCATGTAAACACATCGCTAAGACGACCTTATGTCGCTGTAGTTCCTATGTAAACTACCACGAGAAGATGCGGTATTACACAAGGACCTGAAGGATAACTGCATAACGTGCATGTCATCAAACTAGATGTGAAAATTATACTTTTTGTTTTTGATCTAGAAAATAATTTCTGGGGACTGCCTACCGGTAGTCCCGCCCTAGCCTCATATGATTGGCTAGCGGACTGAATTGGCAAATATTATTGGCTCGAAGTCATCTGTCAATCCTGCTCGCATTACCTCTGTTGCAAGGCCTTGACAGGACACTTGGCCAGCCGATTTCAATTGAAATGCCCATCCGCAGCGCGGCGGTTATACACAGTTTTATGAGTCCGTGCGTCCTCTAGGTTTATAAAGAATAGCCTCTTTGGATTCGTAAACAAGAACATTCCTATTTTATCCATAATTTGACCAATTAAGCAACAAAGAAAATGTATCACTGTGCATTATTTCTCCTATGTTGATACAACAACTTTACTGATAATAGTTGTAGTGGGGTTGTGGTCAGACTGATTGAGTCTAGTCTTTGTAGCGTTTCCAGCTAAGTTTTTGTCCATGTGCCCTCCTTGTGTGCTTTGTAATGTAATAACAACCTTGTGAAATAGAAACCTGATGACATTAAATCTCAGCATAACAACCTGATTTTATTCTACATCTGGTGGGCTGGTGTCAAAAATTTAATCTACACCTAGACCTGCAAAACAAGCTACCTTAAGCCTTTAGAAAGACACCCTAGTTTGGACTTCCCATAGATTTAAAAGATCGGTACAGAAAGTTAAGTGTGGTTAAATTTCTCAATGTTGACCTCAATTTCCCTTCATCCCTCCAGGCCAGATGACTCAGCTATGTGAGTTGATCAACAAAAGTGGGGAGCTGCTGGCCAAAAATTTGTCCCACCTGGACACGGTGCTGGGGGCCCTGGACATCCAGGAGCACTCCCTAGGTGTGCTGGCTGTGCTGTAAGTTTCCACTATAACTTTCTTCTGTCTCAGTTACCACATGACAAGAATTTTTTCCCCCCTCTAACTGGTCTAGTATTATTATTATTATTATTATTATTAATAATATTTAATTTTTTTATTAGTTTAGATTTTGGTGTTTCACTGCACTCTGCTTTCGTTCTGCTGTTCTTGGCCAAGATATTCTCCTAATGTTGTGTCTATTGAAGGTCACGTTGTACTTTTTGTGTTGGTTGAGGAAGAGGCGATAGTTCTATAGGGGAAGTCTCTTGGAAAAATGACAGAAGGTTGGAGCCAGCTCAGGATTTAGAGGAAAATGAGAGGAAAAGTTGACAGATAATAAGTTCCTGCATATGATGTTCTATTGAAAGGGAATAATCTCTCTCACTTCTTCAAATTGTTTCCTTTCTTTAAAATTTCCACACATTCTCGGCACTATAGCAAATCCTGCACAGACATGACACTACTAAAGGTTTTCTGTTGCATTTACAACTGATAATAAATAACACAGAAATAAAAGCTATTATTTCCTGTTTACAAAATCAAGCTCGCTTCTGCTTACCCAACATTGCATCTGATCGATACATTTCCCTCCTTACTCAAAACTCAGCCCTTTAGCTCTAAATGATTTTTAAAAATCGGCAAACGAATGCAAAGTTTTGGCTAACCCCCCTTCCTTCCTTCCTTCTGCTTTTGCTCCAGATTTGTGAAGTTCTCCATGCCAAACATCCCTGACTTTGAGACGCTCTTCTCCCAAGTCCAGCTCTTCATCAGTACCTGCAATGGGGAGCACATTAGATATGCAACAGACACTTGTAAGTCTCATTGTTCAGTGAACTTGTTTTGTGTCAAGTTGTTTTTTTTTACATTTGTTTTTGTGATTGTTAAGACAGAAGCATTTTGTGTGTGTGTTTCTAGCTGAGCTGTCATGAATCGCTACTTGTGTTCATATATTTTACACAAGGTTATATAAATGTTGTTGGTATCAGTCACAGATTTGTATCAGTGGTTTGAAATCTGTTATGTGGATTTGTGGGATCTGGCAGAATCCACATGGTTAATCATAACTCCTCTGTTTTCCTGCCACAGTTGCTGGTCTCTGCCACCAGTTGACAAACGCACTTGTAGAGCGGAAACAGGTAAGAATGTCTCTTTCTATCATTCTGAGCCTAATCCAACTAAGGCTACGTTCACACTGCAGGTCTTAATGCTCATTTCCAATTTTTTGATCAAATCCGATTTTTTTGTCTGCTTGTTCACACTACAAATAAAATGTGACAGCCAACGCGCTTTAGTGTGAACCCTCAAAGCGGCCCACATGCGCAAAAGAACACATCACACATCACACACAATGCGCTCTGTTTAGACCCAGACCAAACAGTATTGTTTGACTGATGGCCCTTAATATAAAGACTTTACGTTTCCCAATTTTTTTTAAGTTATAAAGTTATTTACATATGGCCCAATAATCATCCTTATTGCTGTTTTAGAGAGGAGCGGTGCTTCAAAGGATAGTTGCAGATTTCTGTTAGAATCTGGAGATTATACAGTATAAATAAAATATTCACGTTTCTCCAACGTTGTCTTCCCAACAGTTTCACTAACATCTACACTGGATGGCCAGGAAGCGTCCACGATGTCTTCTTGGGCGCTTCTCCGGCGCTGATAATAGGCGTCTGTCTTGTGTCAGTGACGTAAAAGACGGATTTAATGCGACTTGACCATTCAAACAGCAGTCACTTTCTAAAACATCAGATATGTATCGGATTCAGTACCACATACGAAAGTGACCCAGGTCGGGTTTGAAAATATCGGATTTGTGCTGTTCACACTGTCATACCATGATCGGAAATGGGTCGCATAGGATAAAAAAAGTTGGATTTGATGCGCTTTTGCCTGCAGTGTGAACGTAGCCTAAATAGTGACGTAGTTTAGGCTTGACAAAAGTAGGGCTTTGTTGTAAAAGTGAATGCTTAACAAAAAAAAGAACACAATTGCATTTTTTAAATTTTATTTTTTGTAAGAGAACTGTTAAGATTTGTTCATGATACATCTGCCTAGAAGAAAATGCCTTCTGCATTCTCTGTCCCTCTGTAGATTATGCAGTATGTAATCCTGTTGCACTTGTGCCAAGCAGTTTGTTTTCATTCAGCCCGTGCAGTCAGCTGCACCGTTGTGGCTGCTAATGAAGATCAAGAAGCTTTAATATCAGCGGAAAGAACAGAAAGCAGGCAGGCTTTCTATATTTCCTGGTGCTTCTGTAATTCTTGGTTTTACACTTCATGAGTCTGACTAGTTTGTGGCTTCAGAACTTTTGGCTTCTGTCAGAGGCCACATGTTTTTAAACAGTGTGTATTTATCTGCAGGCTGCTGATGTAGTGACATCCACACAATTGTAGCTCTTGAAGCTAAAGGGGTTAGGGCCTTTCCTGTCAGCAGTTCATTTGATATCACTCACCCTACGCGCCACCATTGCCATACCCTCGTCAGCATTTCCTACTGAATTAGATTGTGTTTGTGGGATCGGGTGCTTTCTTAAGGAGTCGGTGTAAGAGTAATCCTTTCTAGTTGTTTATCATTGCTCGGATAGGCGTGAAGCGAATGCAATAACAGTAGTCCTTGTTGTGGTTCTTAGCTTCAATGAACAAGCAACCTGTTGCTGGTGCTAGCTCTAACCTACAAGAATTACCACCAGCAGCTACAGTTCATGAGGGTGGATGAGAGACTCTGGAGAGTAATATTAAGGAGTGCCACAACAGTAAGCCAGGTTGCAGCCACTGAACACTCAAAATAATGGCGAGGAGACTGCCAGCAGACAAATGTATACTTGGGTGTTGATATATCTGGATGGCCGAATCAAGTCTGTGCGTGGGGAAACACTGCAAGTGTATTTATCCGCGCTCTCACAAGCAGCAGGAGAGTCACATGACCCTGCTGTCTAATACAGCACCCAACCCCCCAACCCCTAAACTTCCTTCCACCTGAATGATCATGTTAGTGTTTATCTCCTAAATGTGGCCTACATAGTGTGTGTGTTGCATTTACCTTGCAGCTAAAACCAATTTCCCCCCTTTGGTCAGAATGAAATGAGTCAGTCACAATCATTTTTCAACACAGGGCTCACATGAGTCATTTCATCACTAAGACAGCGCTGAGTTTCAGCACCACAGTGGAGCATGTTTTCCTTTCCCTTCTTGATCTAAATATTTTAGCGTGTTCTTCAGGCCCTGACTGTTTCCAGCACATTTGGGTGTCTCAGGACGACTTTCAGCTTAGTAACTCACAATTTCTCCTCTTCTGACAGCCATTGAGGGGTGTCGTGGTCCTAAAACAGGCAATAGACAAAATGCAGATGAACACAAACCAACTTACCTCAGTTCACGCAGACCTGTGTCAGGTAAGTTCTTAGCATCACCCCAGTTGTAATCCCAGCACATCTCCTTTTCCATATGCAGTCTAAGCCACTTGTTCACCTCTTATATGTTCTTCTGCAGCTGTGTTTGTTAGCAAAGTGCTTCAAGCCAGCCCTGCCCTTTTTGGAGGTGGACATGATGGACATCTGCAAGGAGAACGGAGCCTACGACGCAAAGCACTTTTTATGTTACTACTATTATGGTGGCATGATCTACACGGGCCTCAAAAATTTTGAAAGAGCACTGTATTTTTATGAACAGGTACTGTCTTTACAGTCTTTTTGTTGCCAGTAATTCTCCTGAATTTAAACGTTCTTTGCGGCATCACTGCACATGGTTTTGTTTTTAATTTTCTGTGACAGGCAATAACCACTCCAGCCATGGCAGTGAGCCACATCATGTTGGAAGCCTATAAAAAATACATCCTGGTGTCACTCATTCTCCACGGCAAAGTGCAGCAGTTGCCCAAATACACTTCACAAATAGTAGGGAGGTTCATCAAGGTAAGGATGCATGACTGGTGGGTGATATTTTTTCTTTTTAGAGGTGTAGCCAAGAAGTGTCATTTTCTAAAATCACCAAAAAGTAGTAATAATAACAGTGTATTGATGCTCAGTAATGTATAGATTAACATTTAGATTCATGCATGAAGAATCAGTGATACAGATCGACAGACTGGCTGTTAAAATGTCGTTTTTTTGCCTGCTAGGCTGAGT